ACACACACACACACACACACACACACACACACACACACACACACACACTTGAAGTAGACTGCAGACTTTCTTTTGCCATCTTAAGAGACATCAGCCTCACAGACAGGTCAAGTCAGCGAACCAGGGAAACAGACTCTGTATGAAACTTTGAGAGCGAACTACAGACTTTCTTTTTCTGCCTTTTTCCTCCTCTGCATCATGAGGTTTGGCATCCTACACAGCACTAATCCAAATCTAAACACTCAGGGAATCCCAGCATTTCAGAGTCTGGCACACCCTACAGGGGTCTCTAGTCAACACAGAGCTCGGCGAGAACCCTCACCCACAAAGAAAGCCCCTTCAACAGGTTTGCTGACTCCCACTGTTCAAAATAGCCCAGTCCAGCATGGCATGCCTAGGTTGTCAGAAAGTCATTCCTCAAAGAAGGGCAGAAGCCCAGCCCCTGAGGTCAGCCCTATGAGAGGGAAGTACTCCCTGGAATACAGACACTGGGCTTTCCGGCACGTGAACCTGGAGGGCAGATTTGTCTTACAGAGGCTACTGTGACTGCTAGGCCTTAGTTTTCACCCCAGAAACAGGTCCCAGAAAAAGCCAAACCCCAAACCCTGTGCTTCCAATGTGTTCATTTTGATGCTTGGCTTTCTGTCAGAGTTATGTTTTGCTGTTTGTTTTTTTTGGGGGGTGGGGTTGTTTTTTGGTTTGTTTGTTTGTTTTTGTTTTTTGGTTTTTTTTTTTGTTTTTTCTTTCATGGGTTTCTTCTGTACTATGTATATTCTTTTTTAAAAAAGGGACTGGAGAGACAGCTCAGCTCTTCCAAAGAAGCTAAGCTCAATTCCCAGCACCCACATCAGGTATCCCACAACTTCCTGTAACTCCAACCTTTGTGAGCACCTGCAGTCAGAGCACAGAACCTCACACACATGTGCATGATTTTAAAAAGCCTCAAAAGAAGAAATTACATTTTGTAACTATTGATATAAAGACAAATATATAAGCAAGCCATTTTATTCCACTTTAAAGTAGTTTTCTTTTCCTTTCTTCTTTGTTTTGCATATGTGTGTGAGAGTGGGGAAGACAACGGTTTCATAAGGATGGAAGCATAAGAAGGTGTTACCCTGACCTCTCAGGGTCACCTTGCCAGCTCTCAGGCTAGCCTTGGGTGTCACTGTGCAAGGTCCTCTGTCTCAGCCATCACCTTCCAAGAGCGGGCACTGCTTCCTTTCTCCCTATCAGAGGACCCATGAAATGGTGCTTTGGGGGCAGAAACCCACTTATACATCAGGCTCAAGAAGCACAGCACTAGCACACATAAGATGTTTATGTGATGATGGCTCATGCCTTTAAACCCAGCACCTAGGTGGCAAAGGCCAACGGATCTCTGTGAGTTCAAGGCCATCCTGGTCTTCATACTGAGTTAGAGGGCAGCCAGGGTTATGTAGAGAGACCCTGCCTCAAAAGAAGAAGGATGAAGAGGGAGAGGAGAAAAGACACTGGATTCTATTAGTTGGCTAGATTGTAAAAATTGTTTATACATTCTGGATGCAAACCTTTTTATATACAGATGTTATTTCTAAGGGTGTCTTGAAGAATTTTTGAAATTTTGATGTTGTTTTTATCAGTTTTTCTTTTATGGTTAGCACTTTTTGTCCTAAGTCCTAAGTCGTACTTAAATACAATTGAATTACCCAAAATCAATTGGCCGTATATGTTTGTGGCTCTGGATAATCTACATAGTCCATTAATCTACCTGTGTCTATCCATATGCTAGCACTCCACTGTCTTAATTCTTGTGATTTTACAGTGCCTTAAAATTAAATGTGGTAAAACTTACCGTCTTTTTTTAAGAATGCTGGGTATCAGCTCCTTTCAAATTTTATCCATAATGTTCTGCAGTCCCAGTGAAAGTGTAATATATGTGTCTTTTATTAAATGTTTTTTTTTAAATATCTCGTTGCTGGCTTATAAAAATGCAATTATTTTGTATATTGACTTTGCAGTCTATAATTTTGTTAAACTCATTCACCAATTGAAAAAAAAAAGATGTTTATGTGGAGGTAGCTCAGTGGTTAGAGTGCTTGCCTGGCATGCACATGTGTCTTACGTACAAGCATGTGCAGGTGCACATTCCAAACACAAGAATGCAGAAGATAATGTCAGTTGTCCTGCTTTATCGCGCTCCATCTCACTCCCTTTGGTCTGGAGGTCTGCTGGCAGCCAGCGAGACCCAACCATTCTACTGTCTCCAGCCCCCCCCCCCAGAGCACTGGGGTTACAGGCCCGCATTCGGCTATTCCAGGATTTTCATGTGGGTTCTGGGGATTCCAACTTGGGTCCTATGCTTGTACCAGTGTTCCTACCCACTGGAAAAAAAAATCTCCCTACTCCGAAGATTTCTTTTTCTTTTACTTCTTTTTCTTTAAGACAAGATTGTCATGCATCCAAGGCTGACCTCTGGAGTGTTGGGGTTACAGGCATGAGCCACCACACCCCGTATATGCAGTGCTGGGCATCAAACTGGGCTTTGTGCATGCTAGGAAAGTACTGTAGTAACTGAGCTACCTCCATGACCCCCTCATGTAAGCATCTTACACACTCTGGCACTGTGCATCATGTATAAGTGGGTTTCTGCCCCCAAAGCACCACTTCACAGGTCCTCTGACAGGGAGAAAGGAAGGCAGTGCCCACTCTTAGAAAGAGATGGCTGAGAGAGAGAGCCCTGAACAGTGACACAGAAGGCTAACCTGGGAGTAGACATGGTGACACCAGAGTGGGCAGGGTGACACTTTCCACATTCTTCCAGCCTTATAAAACTATTGTCTTTTTCAGGTCTCTCTGAAGTTTGTTCATAGGAGGTGCACGCATTTCTGCACTTTTTTGTTGTTAATGATAAGATCTTGCAGTGTTGTCCAGGCTGCTTCGGATTCCTGAGTCCATGCAAATGTTCTCCTGCCTCGCTCCTCCCAGGTACCTGGACTGAAGGGTTTGCACTATCCCATCCGGCTGGCTGCTGCTTGTGTCCAAATGAGGTAGCAAAGGGAGTAAAGACTAGGTTGTGATGAGGGTGCAGAAGGTCTTTGCCTGCTGGACCCCAAGCTATGTGAGCAGGGACGGAACTGAAGGGTCACATGGGGACTTCCTTCTGGTAGAACAGCCCTGGGCTCCAAGGTTTGGTGCGTGCCAGGAAGAGGCAGGGGGGGGGGTTCTCATAGAAGCCGAGGGCATTTGTACTAGGGGAAATGTGACTCAAGGATGGGAAGACGGGGAAGGGCTTTCAGGGAAGGGCTAGGGATAGTTAGACCAGGAAAAAGGAATGACTCTCTCTCTCCTTTCTCCCTGGGAGTGAAGGAGATAAGTATGGAAAGGTGCCAAGAATAGAAGTGATGAGGACAGAACCACCTCCTGTGGAGGAATGGAACTGTCCCTAGGATACAGAAACAGGCTCTCTTTTTTTAAGCATTGAATTGTAATTTTCTTTAGGCGTTGCTTATTCCCTTTCATTATCCCTGGAAAAAGCTAGGTCTCCACCCCTTCCTCGTCTTAGTCACCCTGCAGAGGGTTCAGGGGCTAGCCTATGTTCACATCTGATGGCAGCCCATCCCTGTACCTCCCTACCATTGAGTCTCTCTAACAGACAAGCCTGGCTCCCAAAGCACCTACCTACTTCAGGGAAAGCAGGGGTCCTGAGCATCAGGGGAATACTGAACAACAGTGAGTTGTCTCTATGCACAGCCTGGCTGGGCCCCGCCCAGGGTGTTTCTGGACAGGATGTGGATAAGGGCTTTACAGCTTCTGCATCTAAACCCAAGTCTATGCCTGCAGATAAGATGGAGTCAGCCGACTTTCACCGTTTCCATATACCCATATAACAATCATCTACTAGTATCAGCAGAGCCTGCTGGGGTAGCCCAGGGCTCCTCTGAAACTCTAGCTGATTTTCCAAAGAGACTGTTTCAAGATCTTCATGCCAGTCCAGCCAGCTCCTGCTTGTCCCTCTTCTTGCCAGGTGTGGTCCTCCACCCAGAACAGGGATGGAGATGCCCGTCTGAGGGGCAGAGCCGATTCTTCACCTTCTTTCATAAGACTAAGAAAAATTTTCCTAAAGTTATGGTTCTCAAGTACAGTCTTTTTGTCCTTCCAGGGGACATGTGGCACTGCCTGGAGACAACTGGGTTGTCACAGTTACCGGAAAATGGCCTGGTACTGTGCTGAACATCCTACAATGGGCAACAGGCCCACCCACCCATCCCTCACACACAGCAAAGAATTACCTGGCTCAAAATACACACAAAAAATGTTAAGTTTGAAAAACCCTGCACTGGAATTATATATAGGGTAAAATGATCACACTTTTCCTGCTTTGCCCCCGAAGTGATTCTTCTGAAGGTAAGCTGACTTCTCAGCAGCAAGAACATCCACGCTGATAGCTCGTGACTACCTCGCTGCCCTCGGGGGCAACGTTTCACCCACAGCTCAAACCGGCACTAAGCATGAATTTTCTCCATTTGGTAATCGTGTCTTCAGGCTTTGGGGGGGGGAGGGGGGCGGTGCCAGATCTTTCTAAAATTCTATTATGTCACTTAGGCACACATCCAAATAGTAACTGGGTATCTCTAAAAGACAGCCAATGAGAGTCAGGCTAAACAGCCTCCAGCCCACTCTTTTTAAATTGAATTTTTATCATATTTGTTTGTTTGTTGTGAGTATGTTTGTGGGCACAGCAGTGCTCCAGTGCACATGTCGATAAAGGTCAGAGGACAATTCTCAGGAGTCGGTTCTCTCCTTCTACCATGTGGGAACCAGAGATGGAGCTTCGATCACCGGGCTTAGCAGCACGCACCCTTGTAGGCCAAGCCATCTTGTTGACTCCCACACACATTCCTCTGCACACTCTTTTTAACATTTTGTCCGTATTCATGACAGTACACGTATTAGCCTGACTATTTTAAGATGTCATAATTTTTTGGAGCCATTGAATGGGAGTGGAAGGAACTCTGACCATGAAGAAATTAGCTCTGTCCTCAAAGGATAAAGTACAAAAATGAGTGACAAGCCTGGGCTCCACTCTAGAACAAGGACCAAAACATGGATCATATTCCCCCTAGTGCTGACACAAGGGGGCCACAGTAAAAGGCAGGAAGAAGCCCCACCCATTCACTTGCACGGATTTTGACACAGAGAGGATCAGGAGGGAGAAAGCAGCTGCTATTCAGACTAACTTCACATCAAAATATTCTAAGAGGGGCCGGCCTGCTCCATTAGTTTTCTTCTGATAAAGTGCCAGGGGCCCTCAAGAAAATGCTATCTGTGCCAAGAACTCTCTTTAGTCATCAAACTATAGCCTCAGTCATTGTCCTCTGCTTGTCAATGAGACAACAGTCTATTATGGTTTAGCAGCTGACGGCAACTACTAACAGCTCGCAGATAAGAAGCCACCGCTCGTGTTTCAGCAGTGAAACCCCGAGCCTTGACAGCTCCGTGGAGTTATTTGTGCATGTGCAGCCCGGCACTCGGCCCCTCGAGTCGGCTCAAGCAGCCCTCTGGCCTTCTTCCAGCCAGCCCGATGTCACAGATCCCAAGCTGTGTGGTTGTTGTCACACCTGCTGGCTCCCGTGGACTGCACGCTGCCCCCGCCTGATAGCGCAGTCATGACCCGCAACCCTTGACAGACCTGAGAGCTGGCAGGGGAAATGCCTACTTGCCCAGGCCGTCAGATCTGCTCACCCCTCCTGCCCTTGGCTTCAGTCTCAGCCCTTCCTTCCCAATGGGTTGGCTGGAGGGTGCTGGTGATGCCTGCTTTCCTCTGCTTGTCACAGTTCTCCAGCCAGAACCTATCAGGCTGCTGCCAAAGAGCCTCTCAACCAGGCTTACCCATCGTTCTGAGCACATGAGCAAGCACTTCGGTGGAGGTTCTGCCGTGTTGAATACGGGGCAGAACCAGACAGGAATGACCCACCTGAACCCGTGAGATAGTGCCGTTGGCAAAGTGCTCACCACACAAGCATGAAGATCTGAGTTCAATCCCCAGGAACCACATGAAAAGCTGGGCGTGGCACGATGCTCTTGTAATCTCAGTGATGGGAGGGCAAACATAGGCGCGCGCAGGGGCTCTAATCACTAACAGCGCACTCTAATCACTAACCCCCCCCAGATTAGTGAGACCCTGCCTCAAAGAGAAAGGGGGGGAGCCAGGGAAATGACTCAGTGGTTAAGAGCACTCACTGCTCTTACAGAGGACCTATGTTTGGTTCCCAGCACCCACATGATGGCTCACAACTGTAGCTCCAGTTCCAGTAGATCTGATGACCTCTTCTGGCTCCCACAAGCACTGTACATACATGGTAAACATACATGTAAAGAAAGCAATCTCACACATACAAATCTTAAGAAACAAAGTTATAGGAAAAAAATCACAAGGTGGGTAGTTTCAGGAAGAATGACACCAATGGTTGACCTCTGACCTCTACACACATGCATGTACAGACACAGACACATACACACAACACACAGACACACACACACCCCTGCACATGTACTCAAAGACTAAGTATACAAATAAACAAATACGGTTTTAAATGACTTGGTAAGGGGTCCCAGCTATAAGTCAGGGTTCAGTGGTTTCCATGGCAACATTTCCAGAGACGGAGAAACTGGCCTTAATATACTGGAAAGATGTCATAAACACAATGCTCCTGACGAAAGCTGTTCCAGACGACTGGAGGCTGCGCTGCGCTGCACTGCCCAAGGCTGGATGACATCCTCACCTAACAATAAACTCTTCCCCTCTCAGTCCACTGGGGCCACCTGCCTCCTTCCCGGCCTCCAGGGCTTTCGGACATCTGTGCTTCTTTCTTGGGGCCATTTGATCACCAGTGATAGACAGGCTTCTCAAAGCCACCTGGGACAGCTCTCCTAATCCCAGGGATGGATAACTATGGGAACTTCACTCCGGCTGCCATCTTTGGCTGTTTTTCTCTTTGGCGCACACGGCTAAGAACCAGTGCTGAGGGTCAGAGACCAACAAGGTCCCTTGTTTGCTCAGGCATCTTCCTCAGGGGAAGGCTCAGGCCCTCTGTAGGCTACTTCACCATATGGAATGGCTTTATGGGCAGGTCCACACTGCTCCAGAGGGTATAGAGTGCCTGGCTAACACAGGTAACCAACCAACAACGTGGTTGCTGAGACCTCCAGCCACCTATGTGCCCACATCAGCTCTGTCTCTAAATCCCCACGGCTGAAGGCCATTCCAATCTCCTACCTTAACAAGGCAGTGCTAGTGACATTGGCTGGAACTCTGCCGGGCCAGTAAGCCAGTGCTGGGACACGATGGCCACCTTCCCAAGTGGTCTGCTTGGCTGAGCTTCCTCCTGTGATAAGAAGTAGTTGTTTCATGAACATCAGCAACTCTGGGCTTCTTTTTCAGCTAAGAGCTGGCCTTTGGGAGAACAGCCCTCTCTAAAAGTGTCCAATAAATTCAACAACAACAACAACAAAAAAAAAAAAATGGCTTTCTAGCTAATAGAAACTAGTTAATAGCTGTCAGTGCATGCTTTGATTTTCCTGGACTAAACACATATAAACAGAGCCCTCTGTTGATTGTCAGTTCCTTTCTTGACATCCCCACTTTAAGCTGTCTTATTTCATTCCTTACATCTCATGTGTCTCTTGCACTATGAGACCCAAGACATCCTAGGCACTGAAGGAATCTTGGTTGTGTAAATGAATCTGTCTTCTAGTTGACTGTGTTCCTGTGTGATCAGGATGAAAGGAAAGAGAGGAGAGACTGCTACAAGTTGGCCACACCTACCTCGCAAGCATGGGACCATCAGTTCAAACACTGGCACTAAAAAATAAGTACAAACTACAATTCTCTGAAAGAGGGGGTTTCCTCGGCTGTTTAATCCACCCAGGGCCTCGTGTGGATCTGCTTTGTTTTGCATTGTTTTTCTTTGAATCAATGGGTTGTTGTGATGAGACAGTATCAGTCATGGTTCTGAGTGCTTGCCTCTTGGAAGGAGGTAAGAATATCCATGTGCAATCTATGAACTTTCACATTAGTAATGTGAGGCATTATTTTCGTAGCCAAGTCCAAAGTGACCACCAATATAATGACAGCCGTGGGCTGGGAGAGATGAGGTCATGTTTTATGAAAACATCCTGAATACACACGTTGCACTGAATTAACCATGACGGGCTCCACCACTCCCACACACACACACCCCACCCTCATCCCCAGCTGAGCCAGAGGCCAGCGGCTCCACGAGGTTTGCGTGTAAGAAGTTCTTCCAAGGCAAGCGCTGTACGTGGCTCACACACGCTGTGGTCATGCGACTTCCCCGGGTTTGGCTGGTGTAAACAATAAATAAAAGCAATCAGGGGTGGAGGCCAGGGGACCAGGATGAAGGCTTTCTCCCTTGGCATTCTCGCTGCCACAAACAGAACCTTTGATGTCGCTGGCTCAGGGCACCATACCGGAAATGCTCCAAATTCCTGGGACCAGCACATAAAAGAGCTCCGGAGTCCCCCAAGTGTGGATGTAAGAAGCTGAACACAAAACAGCTCCCGCCCTACGGATGGTTAACTTTTAAGTGGGGTAGGCTCTAGAAACTGACTAAATTCAGTCACTTCGGACAGAGAAGCTCTTTGAGCTAGTCCAGAGTGTCTCAAGTGCATACTTTCCACCCGAGCCTTCTCTCCCCAAAACATACACGGAACAAGACCACTCGTGTTATTCACGCACGTGAAATAGAAAATCCAGAACTGTGGCAGAGCACAAAATGCACTTGTTTCCACATGGGTTCAGAACACATGGCATGCTTCAGCTTAAGGTCAAACAGTAATGAGTGCTTACACAGGCATGTGCTGGGGAATCTGTGGGCCTTTCCAGCCCTGGGAGAAGCATTTGCGTGGACACTTTTGGTGTGAGTGGGTGGAAAGACGGGGCCCTTTTATTTACAGCCCATGATATATGACATTCAAAGGGCCCGGCTTAACCTTTGAGGCCGGATGCTAAGGCAAGGCCAAGGCATTGGATTTAAGAAGTAAATCACTCTCTCTGACCAGAATGCAGGAGCTGTTTCTCATGACAGGCTGAGAGACACCTGTTTGCTACGGCACTCTGGGCAGCCCTTTTGCAGGTGACTGACCTCCCCCAGAGGTTTCTCAATGGAAACAGTTTTGTCATGTTTGTCGTCATTCAGCAGAGGGTCAGAAGCTTGTGGGGTTAGAAGGGACTGTGCTGGCAGCAAACATATCTGTCAACATAATGGACAGCCCACATGGGAAGCAAATGAGAGAGAAAGAATTGGCCCTTGGAGGCCTCTCAACATGACCACAGTGGGCGGAGCTGGTCAGCTGATCCAGCTGCCCCTAAAGGTTATAATTTTAACACGATTACTTATCCCAGCCACGTAAATAATCCCAGTCCCACCATCCCTGTATGCAAAAGAAATTTAGTTTGGGTCCTGAGTGTGGACAAGCAATTACCAAAATAAATATTTATCATGTACACTGCTCTTACTCCAAACACCTGTTTCTCACTATCCCTGATGGAAGTGGGGAAGAAAGGTCTGCCCAGGATCCTCCATAGGCTTTCCAAGTGGTGGAGTACAATGAGCTGCTGTGTGTGCTTCTCCGACTGGTTTTCTGTAGTTATCTGTACCAGCAAGGGCAGAGTCCAGAATAACCGCCTCTATGGAATAGCTGCTTTACCCCTAGGCAGCTGCTTTACCCCTCATTCCAAGCTGACGACAATAGTAACAGTGACAATGACGTCATCTATTAATTGAGCCCTTACCAAGCACCAAGCCAAGTGTTCCTAAGGATGTGGCTAAGTGCCTTCTACACAATTTTACCGGCTCTGGGCGACAACCTTTTCCACATTTATTTGTGTGCGTGAGCACACGGCACATGTACACTAAGGTATACGTGGGGAGGTCAGAGGACAACTTTGGGGAGCTGGCTCTGTTCCTTCACCATGTGTGCCCTGAGGACCAAATTAGGGGTTTAGGCCCAACCGCAGACACCTCTATCCTCTGAGCCATCTCGTCAGACCTTGCATGACCATCTTTTGTACTATCTTTTGTAGTACATTGTGATTTTTTTCATTTTTTCTAATGAAGAAAAAAAAGGAAGAAAAATTCAAAGAGGTTAAGCAAATTCTTGCGTTCAGTTTCGAGTCTGAATTCAGGGGCCTTTCCTGTGCTGGGGCAGTATTCTACCACTGGGTTTGAGTTATATCTGCCCTACCCCTTCTTTTAATTTTGAGCTTTGAGACAAGGTCTCGCTCAGTTGACGGGGCTAGCCTTGAATTCATTATGCACCCCAGGCTACTCTCAAACTGTCAAACCTCCTGTCTCAGCCACCCGAATCGCTGGGATAGCAGGAATGCACCACCAGCCCTGGCTGAATGCACGTGCTTAGTAAAGCCAGATCCAACTACACAGCCAGGACCCTCGCCGATTCAGTCCTCCGGCACAGCATTCCACACTCTAAACTCATGTCAGAAGCACAGGCCGACTTCTTTAAAGACACCACGGTGAAACAGCCATGACTGGCTGGCTGTATGGGGGGATAACATCAGTATCCCAGGTTAGATGGGGAAGCAGGCACAATGCCCTTCAAAGCTACATGTAGCTTATGTGCTTCTCTGTATGTGACTGCTCACATGTGGAGGTGGACGGGGGGGGGGGGGGGGGTAGATCAGTGTATGTGAGTGTGGGTATGGAGGCCAGAGGTCAACCTTTTTGGTTTTCCTTTTGGTTTGTTTGTTTCAAGGCCCAGGGGAACTAAGCTGCCTCCAATCATTCAAATAACTTGACTTCCAAGTAAGGGAGAGAATCGCCCAGGCACAATAGATAGCTCATGCCTGTAAGCCCAGCACTGGGGAGTCTGAGACAGGAGGATCACTTCCAGTTCAAGGCCAGCCTGGGATATGTAGTGGATTCTAGGCCCGACTGGGCTACAGAGTAAAAGACTGTCTCTAATTAATTAATTAAGCCCTCAGTAGGTTTGACCTAAGACCCAGCTTTCACCTTTTCACATGCACTAATTGGTAAAACCTGAACTGTTTTCTAATCACTCTGGGGACCTGGGAATTGTCAGGAAGCTAAGGCTTTGGAGACCAAGCTGCTGGGTTTTTATTGGCCTAAGATTTGAGGGGGTTAGGCAAGGAGGAAACCCTGACTGAGAGTTCACTCTCCTTACCTAACGTAATCGCCTGGAAGTCAGAAAGTGCAGTCACCATGCAGGCTTTCCCTCCGCCTCCCAAACCTTTCCCTCCCTGAGACACCTGCCCTTCTCTACTATGGTTTTCAGGACAGGGCCACATTGGCAGTTGATCTGTTACTGGTCCGCTGACTTGACTGTGTGGGACAGGGGGACAAAGGTCTGGCCCGTACTATGTATTCTGCCTCAGCCCCTCCCACCTCCTCATCATGCCCAGAGGCCTTGGTGCTGTGCAGTGATTCATGACCTCACACTTTCGTGCCACCTCACCAAGGGCCGGCTGGCTTTCTGGTTCCCACACTCAGGGTCAGGGTCTCAGGCCCCACAAAAACGTATGCGTCCAGTAACCACACGCCAAGCATAGAAATGGTGGGAGAGAATACCGGAAGGCCTTTGGTTAGCCCACAGCAACCTTGTTTCAACCACACAGCAGGCAACTCAGCAAATTCTGAAGACCAAGGTCAGCTGACCTCCCTCTCCCTCCCCACTGGCTCAGGCTGAAAGCCTTTAAAAGGTGATCAGCAGCTAGAGGTCAACCCTGGGTACCTTCTCAGGGGCTGTCTACTTCGGTTTCTGAGACAGGGTCTCTCACTTGATCTGAAACACGGTTATTAGGAAACATGGCTGGGCAACCAGCTCCAAAGACCCATTTCCCTCCGGCTCAACGCAAGCCTGAGCCATCAGGCACAGCTCTTTAACATGGGTTCTGGAGATGACTTGGGTCTTTGTGTTCGCAAGACAAGCATTTTACTGACCGAGCTATTGTGCCAGCCTTGTGTGCCAGCCTTTTTAATCACGGGCTTTAAACTGACCATGCCTTCATCCCTTATCCCCAGCATCATAAATACGACCTGGTAAGTTACAGCAAGAAAAACAGCTAAGTCCACAGCTTAAACTTCTATGCACTTTTCCATTTGGAATGCTCTTTGTTAATTTAGATAAGCTTTAATACTTTGACCCATGGCCCTGGTACATCAAAAGTGTGAGCTGTATTTGGCTTTCTGTCCAGAGATGCTTTCCTATGGCTCTGACAATGTATTTCGATGCATTTGTGGTTAGTTATGACTCTAATTAAAGCAGAACCTCTTACTTAAAGCAATAAATATTTAGCCTCAGCAACCAAAACATAAACAGAACCATG